CACTTATTAAAGACCATGGACTTGAGTATACTGTTCGATTTAGTACATCCTTTTCTACAAAAGACTTTGGAAATACTGGTATATTGCATATCAATATATTTATATATATATGTGTGTGTGTGTTTGTGTGTGTATATATATATAATAATAATAATAATAATTAGAGATTAAAGTGCCATTATTTACAACAATCACAATAGTGATAAAGTAATTCAGAAGCACTAAACAAGTAAACTATAAGTCTGAAAAAGAGTTCATAAAAAGTTCATATTTTAGTCTTTTCTTGAATGTTTCTATAGAAGTTGAGTTTCGCGTGTTCAAAGATAAACCATTCCAAATTCGAGGTGCAGCCATACAAAAAGATTTTGAGCCTAAGGAGGTTTTTTGTTGACGACGTGTAAGTTGGCAACTGTCTAATGATCTTGTATTTTGTTTTGAAGTCCGGACTTCTAGGAGTTCAAATAAATATGCAGGAGATTTTGATAATAAAATTTTATATGTGATAACTGATATTTTATAGATTATTCTTTGATGTATTGGTAACCAATGAAGAGATTTCAGCAATATTTCTGATTTTAAATGGAAAGGAGAATGGAAAACAATACGAGATAAGTTATTTTGAATTCGTTGGAGTTTTTTAATATTTTTTTGATAAGTGCCAGATAAAATGCTGTTACAATAGTCAAGCTGAGAGTTAACGATGCCACAAGCAATTATGTTTGCAGCTTCTTTGGTCAGACATGGACGAATGTGGCGAAGTGCACGAATGTGGTAATTGCAGGATTTAATAATATTGTTTATGTGGTTGTCCATAGAGAGCTTTGAATCTAGGATGACTCCAAGGATTTTTACTGAATTTATTGTAGTTATTGTGGTTCCAGAAAACGCAATATTCAAATCATTTTTATATTTGCTAGTTTGTTTTCTAGATCCAAATAAGATAGCTTCTGTTTTATTTGGATTAAGCAGAAGTCCATTTTCTAGAAACCATGTTGTAACTGCATTAGCACACTCAGTGATTTTGCTGATGCTATCTTTGCCAGGGCTGAGGAAAGTATAAAGTTGGGTATCATCAGCATATTGATGATGATTTGTACCAAATTTAGCTATAATACGATATATAGGTGAAACAAAAATGGAAAATAGAAATGGGCCTAATACACTACCCTGTGGTACTCCTGTTGAACTTGCTATTAGTCTAGAATTTGATGATCCAATAGAAACAAAAGATTTTCGAGAGTGCAAGTATGATGTTAGCCATTTTAATGCAATATCTGTGACACCAAAATCATTCTTAATACGGGTAATCAGCAGGCTGTGATCAATTGTATCAAATGCTGAAGATATGTCCAGAGATAGGAGAATAGTGGTCAAACCATCATCAATGTTTAGCAGGATGTCATTGCATATCTTTAAGAGTGCTGTTTCGGTTGAGTGATAAGATCTTAAACCAGATTGTAGAGGATTGAAGTTGACAGATGATGTTACATGTGGACGAAGACGAGATAAAGCAAGCTTTTCAAGAATTTTCGAAATTGTATTGAGATTTGATATGGGGCGTAGATTTGTTAGGTCAAATTCTGCTAGTCCTGATTTTTTGGGAATTGGCGTTATTTGAGCAACTTTATATGAGGTTGGGAAAATTCCGGATTTGAATGAGAGGTCAGCAAGGTGAGCTATAATTGGACTGAATATTTCTGAACAAGATTTAAGGATGTTTGTTGGAATAATATCAAGTGGCGATGTCTTAGATTTGAGAGTTTTGATTATTTTCGACACATCTTTAGGTGTGACTGTACCAAATGTGGTTAAAATATCTACAGGGGGAGATAACTCTGAGATAAATTTAGATATTGGAGTTTTTGCAAGCCTTTCCTGAATAGTGTTCTTTATAATTTCGAGTTTGCGTATGAAATATTGACTTATTATATCGCATTTTGCTTCTGGTATTGTGTTATTAGTTTTAGAACTATTCGAATGTAGTAATTTCTTGGCAATGTTCCATGTTTCTTTTTGATCACCGTATGCTGAATTTAGTTTCGCCCTATAATGACTACATCTGGATTCGTGAATTGCTGCTGCAGTCTCACGGCATGATATATATATATATATATATATATATATATATATATATATATATATATATATGTATGTATTTATATATATATATATAGCTTTGGCTCCCTGCCCCTGCATGTTTTTACCCAATAAAAAAATTCTTTTATTGCGTAAAAATTTTCAAGGGTTTATAATATATGTATATATATGTATATATATATATATATATATATATATATATATATATATATATATATATATATATATATATATATATATATATATATATATATATATATACATATATATATATATATATATATATATATATATATATATATATATATATATATATATATATATATATATATATATATATATATATATATATTATAAACCTCTTTATATATTTGCTGGAGAAAAAATTGAATATTTGATTTGTTGCCATACATTGGGTAATAATAAAAATTAATTTTGTATTAACTATAGATATTTCTGTATAAACTGCATCAATCGTAGTTTGACCAAATAGAAAATCTAATGAAATATAACAATACTGCATACTTATCTCAAAATCAAAGAAACCAATATTGAGATATTTTTTAATAAATTTTTTTTTATAGATTTACTCCTATTTGTTAAAATATATTTATTTTTACAATAATTTCAAGGGGATATTGATACCCTCATAATCGTTATTTATTATAATAATAAAAAACTGTTATAATAAACATTAAATTATGTATATGTGTATTTTAATATGTCGATAAATTAAACAATATTCCACTATTATTTAAAAAGTTCTGAAAATTAGACTTTTTTTAAATAGATTTAAAGAAAAAACCCCACAAAATTATTGGTCTACTGATTCCATTGAGTTTTCTGGTATACCATTCATGATGATTGGCACAAAAATTTTTGATTGCCATCATGGATATGATAGAAACTTAAGTAGGAAAGAATACAACAAACAAAACAGAAAAGCATTAGTGAGTTAATTGTATTTAAAGCAATAAATAATTTTTTTTTATAACATACAAAAATTTCATTTTAAAATTAACAAAAAAAATTTTTTTTTTTCTAAATTTGAGTTTAAAAAATCTTTTTATAGAACATTGATCATGATTGCAGAAGAAAATTTGCTAGAATACAGAATTGTAAGAAATTTGATTGCCCAGCTCAACTTATCATAACAGAATACTTAGAATTTCCAGAATATAAAGTAAGTAGGAGGTTTTAATGTTTGTAAACCTACCTCCTGATTAAGATGTTAAAGTAATCTTTTAAAAAAATGTTTCTGGTCAGGTCAGATTTTATTTCATTGCAACTTTTATTATTTTTTCAAAATAGTATAGGCATGTTTATACTTGCTATAACTGTTTAAAAAAAGATTATAATCAATGTATTAATAAATTTATTTATATGTGTATGTAGACATTATGTATGTCTTTTGTTTATGATACTCTGTTATTTTTAGCTTATATTGGATACTGTCAGAAATAGAAAAGCAAAATCAAAAGAGCTACGATATGCGATAATGTTATCTAAGAAAAAAATCTATCAAATCAGAAAATTTTGTGTTGCAGTACCAGATATTTAAGCACACAATGGTCATATAATTACCAAGGTATTTTAAGTTTAATCTATTAATTTATTTAGATCTTATCCATGTTTATATTCTTTTGTGTGTATATTATATGAAAATACATTTATACTTACAAATTTCTATAAGGATGCTGGTATAACTCAGAGAATTGACCCTGAACTGGTATCTGCTATTGACATGTATGTTAAGGAAGGTGTATTGAGCACAAAAGAAATGAAGCGCTTATTAAAAATCCAAGTGAAAAACAGTTTCAGTAAAGCCGGTCATATTCTACCAGAATTCTCAAATAAAAGATTTTATCCCCGTAATTCCACTATCCACAATCACATAACAATTTCTAGACGAAAATTAAGTAAATCTCTTATTGATCAAGAATGTCTTCAGTCAAAAATTAAGGAATGGAGAGCATTAGATCCTACTATAAGTATATTCTTTAGACCTAAAGGTTTGTTGTTTTGTTTTTTTATATTTATTTAGGTGCCACAAGAAGTCCTTATTGTCTTATCACAGAGCATGGCGGATGAGCATTTATTCGCGCCTCCTTTCTAACCGATGTTGCAAAACTTGCCCAGAGATGGGGTTTGAACCATGGATCCTTTGTTTCTGAGGCAAGTGCGCTACCACTGCACCACAGCTGATCAATTATTGTTATTACTACAGTTTTCTTAAAAATAGTTTCTGCTTTGCTTTTAGTAAAACAATTTTTTTTTGATTTTAGGGCATTTTGAAAAAGACCTTACTGTAGACAGTGACCATGAAGATGATAATGTGAAACTAACAGGTGCAAGTGAAACCTCTTTGCTCTTTGTCTATCAAAATAAATGGCAGAAGAGGCTGTTAGCTAAATATGGTAATGAACTAGTTTTATTGGATGCAACATATCGTACCACACGTTATGCATTGCCGCTTTTCTTTTTTGTGGTAAAAACCAATATTGATTATCAAGTGGTTGGATTATTTGTATGTGAAAACGAAACTGAGGATTCAATCAGTGAGGCTCTTTTGTATATTAAGTCTTGGAATAATGACTTAAATCCAAAGTATGGAATGTCAGACTATTGTGTTGAAGAGAAGGTTTTTGTCGGTAAGTAACTTTAAGTTTTACTTTTCCTATTTCTCAAACTATAGAATTAATACATTTTCTTTAAACCACATTAATGGCAAAAAAAAGTGCTGTTTTACCATGAACATCACTAAACCTCTGTGCATCTCTTTAATATTACCTTATTTACAAGAACTAACGAGTGTGTGAAAACAAGTACAGTTTGTCATAATAATATATAATAAATATGAAAAGCAATAATTTATATTATTTTTAGAAGAAAAAAATTTGATACATGTTTTTTGTATTGAATTGTCTGAGAATTACTTATTTATTTTATACTAATATCCATTATAGGTTGTGTTGTATTCATATGTGATTTTCACAGAGAACAAGCGTGGGACAGTTGGCTGAAAACAAAATCTAATGGCTTAACACAAGATAGGTTAAAGATCTTATGCTTACTTAGAATGATAGCACGTGCAGACACAGTTGAGATATGTGAAGCAGAACTAAATAATTTGAAAAACTGTTTTTATTGGATAAATAACAAAGCTCTAAGAGAATATTTATCAAGATATTGGTTACCAATAAAGCATGTAAGTTTTTATTTATTGAGATTTGAGAGCTGAATGAAACCTGCAAATGGAAAACTGTATAATTTTTGTTTGCTTTTTTATCTCTATAAGGTATATGGGCCACTACAATTAAGGCAGATATTAAATACTTTAATTACTCTTTATAATTAGCGTTGGGTGAAAGCATATCGTCAGACTCGTTTATTGGTAAATTGTAATACAAATAATGGTGTAGAGCGACAACACAACACATTAAAGCATAAGTATCTTCTAAATCACAGAAATAGTTCCCTTAGTGGAATGTTATCTGTAGTGATTGACGATTTTCTTTCTGATAAGTATGAGAGGTTTGTTAAAGTTAGCTATTTTGCACAATTTTCAGTTTTATAAAAATTAGTTTAATTATGCAGCAATTAAACTATTTTCTAATATACATACTTTGCAATTTATTTGTTTTTATAGCTATATAGACAACAATAGATTAATGAGCTCTAAATACATGAGTTATTCGGATGATATTGATGATTGGATGATAGATTGGCCTCGATTAATGGTGAAGCATTGCCTGTTAAAGAAATCACTTGCTGAGAATTTAGACATAACAGCACTTAAAGTTGAAGAATCTGGAAAATTCTCATTGCGATATTATAAAGACAATAAAGAACGAAATTATGTAGTAACTTTTGGAAATGAAGACAACATGCCTAGTTGTACCTGCATGAATTGGAAAAACTCTTGTTATCCTTGTAAGCATTTCTTTGTCATTTTCAAACACTATCCTTGTTGGAATTGGGAATCAATATCACCTTTATACCGAATGTCTCCATATCTAAATATTGATATTGATTTTGATCTTGATAACGCAAAAGTTAAAGGATGTAATGATAAACTCAGTATAACAACATATTCCAGTGTAACTACTAAAGAGTCAAATAAAGTGAGTGAAGCATCGATAAAGGCTGATACTCAAAACGTAAGCAAGTCATATAAAGTGAGTGAAGCATCGGTTAAGGCTCATACTCAAAATGTAAGCAACACAGGAAGGAAATCTATAACAGGTGAATCCATTAGAAGCCTCTTGTGTGACTTACGAAGTCTGAGTTTTTTAATTGATCATGATACTGAGCTTCTTGAAAATACATATAAAGAGTTGAACAACCTCATCACAAGTCTGAAAAGTGCTGTACCTAAAGAGAGTTGTTTGCCTCTACTACCCAATAAAATTAAAAAAATATCTAAACCAAAATGCTCCATTAAGTATCATAAGCTGCCAGCACCTAAAAAAAAGAGTATGCAATTTAAACGTGTTGGGGAAAAAAAGGAGAAATTATTGGCAGCTTCCAAAATTGAAATAACGTTGAACCCAGAAAAAAAAAATGTAGAAACTGAAGTTATAAATAATAATTTGATTGACTATGAAAACATATTAGAGTTTGTAGATAACAGCATTTTCAGTGATGATGAAAATGATACAGATAAAAAAAATGATTCAGATGAAAAAAACTGTATAAGTAAAAAAAATCTCAGTGAGAGTGACTTTTCAGATATATTAAACAATGAATGGCTTTCTGACAATGTTATAAATATATTTCAAAACATGATAAAAGACCAATTCAAAGAAGTAAGTGGCCTTCAAGACACTGTGCTTGGACAAAATCTTGCTTTTAGTACGCATATAAATAAACCATTTGTTCAAGTTTTGCATAATGGTTGTAATCACTGGGTAGCAATTTCAACATATGGTTGTAAACCTGGTGAGGTTTTTTTGATGGACAGTCTGTTTCATGGTAAAATTGCAAATCATACAATAGAACAGATATGTGCCATCATGAAATGCACATATGAGAAGTTAAATGTTTGTGTATTACCAGTGCAACAACAGTCAAATGGTGAAGATTGTGGTGTCTTTTCTATTGCTTTTGTTTATCATATTGTAAGTACAAGATCAAAACCAGACAATGTAACATTTTCTATACCAGAGATGAGGTCACATATGTTAAATTGCATTAAAGTTAATAAAGTTTCTTCTTTTCCTCAATCGCTAGCAAGTTGCAAAAGGTGTTTTCAAAAAGAGATTTTTATTGAACTGTTTTGCAGTTGTAGAATGCCATGGAATCCCATAGAAAATAGAAATAACAATAATCAAATGGCGCAGTGTTCTCGGTGTAAACAGTGGTTCCACAAAATGTGTGAAAACATTCCTGATTTTGTCTTCTTTAAAAAGAACCGTAGATTACCATGGTTTTGTTATTGTTGTGTAAGTGCAGTTTCATAATTATTTATTCTCTATTAAATTATACTATTCTTTGCTTTATTTAAAAAAGATTTTTTTTTTATTCAACGGCTTTATTCAACATATTTTAGTTCTTACAATTAATCATAACAAAATAATATATTCATTTGAGTTTTTTAACAGTTTAACTTTTTAATAATGTGTTTTCATTAATTAAAATTGAATATTTTAAAGTTTAATTTTAATTAAGTTTTTTGGATTATTTTAAATTTTAATCTTTACTATTATACTGATTTTTTTAGCCTAATGTTGATATATGGTTTTAATGTTGATATATGGTTTTAATGTTGATATATGGTTTTAATTTAGTAAATTTTTATGATTTGAAATTTACTTAATTGATCATTAGCCAACAGTTTAGAAAAACAAGTCGAACTCAACTCTATTGCGGTAAGAGCAATTGTGTTTACTTCTTTACATTAGAAAACTAATTATTTCTTTTTGTCAAGTTTTTGGAATTTTATGTTACAATTTTTTATAATAAAAATAATGATAATAATTTAAATTATAGTCAAAAGTACAAGTTTTATACCAAAAGTATAAATCTTTCAGTAGATGTCAGTTCTTACAATAGATGTCATCTTACACTAGAAGTCAAAAGTACAACGCTGGTTTTATACTATAAGTATAAATCTTACACTAGAAGTCAAAAGTACAACGCTGGTTTTATACTAAAGGTATAAATCTTACACTAGTCAAAAGTACAACGCTAGTTTTATACTAAAGGTATAAATCTTACACTAGAAGCCAAAAGTACATCGCTGGTTTTATACTAAAGGTATAAATCTTACACTAGAAGTCAAAAGTACAACGCTAGTTTTATACTAAAGGTATAAATCTTACACTAGAAGCCAAAAGTACATCGCTGGTTTTATACTAAAGGTATAAATCTTACACTAGAAGTCAAAAGTACAACGCTGGTTTTATACTAAAGGTATAAATCTTACACTAGAAGCCAAAAGTACAACGCTAGTCTTATACTATAAGTATTAATCTTACACTAGAAGTCAAAAGTACAACGCAAGATTTCAATCTAAAAAATTAGAATAGAAGTCACTAGTTTTACACAAACTATTACTACGGCGACCGAATCAATTTTGAAAACGAGGCGTACTTTTGACTTCTACTATATATTGCTAACCGTTTTTTTACGGCTCAAGTATAAAAACTTAATTTTCGCTATGGTTATAAGTCTTGTTTGCACTATAATTGGTTTATTCTGATTTTATTAAAATGGTTTAATAATAGTTAGATTTTATTTGAGTTCTTACATTATTTTGTGCTGGATTTTTTGTTAACTGATTGCCTGCTTCAGTTTATTCTAATTACACAGAATACTGAAATAGGCTTTCAGATAGCTATATCAACACATACCAACATGCTACTAAAAATAACCTTACATGTTGCTAAAACTACCCACAACTCTCCATTGGAAATAATTTAAAAGGTTTGTACTTTTGTATTTATTATAATTGCAGTTATTAGATATAAAAAATCAATTTTTCTTTGAAATATTTACACTGCAAAACAACGTTTTGAAATGTAAATACTCTACTATGCTTGTGTCTTATACACATGGCCACCTTGAGGTGGGGGGGGCGGGGCGGGGGAGGTCTACTGGGTTGTTTTGTCCCGGGCGCCAGGTCGACAGGGGCGCACGAAGCCGAATATAAATAATTTTTTTTTCATGTTTATTTATAAACATGATGAAGATGAAAAAAAAGATGAAGTACTGGGAAGCAGCTTGGAAAATAAGAAATCAAAAGCAGCCGGTCAATTTGACCAGCTAAAACATATAATAGACGGTCAATTGCTTTTTTTGGCCGGTCAATTTTTTTTAGTTTAAATTTTCAACTTTGTAATGAAGTGCTTCGTAATTGGACTTTTTAAATAAAAAAAGAAAATAATGCTTTAAAACTAAGAAATTAGCATTGTTGAGGAAGAGAAACTTATTGAAGAGGTCCGCCACCTCGATGCTCTGAAGCGATCCAATCTTTTTGGTCCAAAAGAATCTCTCACTTCCATGACGTTATTGAATGGAATATACCAGAAAAGTCTTCAGCCGCTCTTCGAATCGGTCTGCATTTTGCTGCGCATCTTCAACACCATCCCTGTTTCTGTTGCGGAAGGCGAGAGATCTTTTAGTAAGCTTGCTCTAGTTAAGACAGCTTTAAGGTCTACAATGAGCCAAGAACGACTCACGAATCTTCTAGTTATTTCCATTAAGCATGATCTTGCCAAAAAGTTGTGCTACGGTGAAGTGATTTCCAAATTCGCCATGAGTAAAGCTCGAAAGATCAATTTCCTCTGAAGTTGAAACAACAATAGCTGTTGTATTCTAGACAAATTTTTGCTCTTAACATCCAATAGTGTTTAATGATTGTATTTGGTCTATTTCTACCATGTTCTAGTGTCGACTTTAT